TGGGGGCCGGTGGGCGCGGGAGTCCCAGCTCGACAGGCCAGAGAAACGCAGGGACCACCTCTAGCACGGCCTGGCGCTCGCGCATCTTTTCTGTCGTAGGTGCCCAGCAGGCAGGGCCGGACGGGGCAGCAATCCTCCGGCAGTTCAGCCAGGGCGGGGAGGCACGAGCCTGCAGGCCACCCCCCTTTGCAGATCAATGACCAGAAGGGGAAGTGGGGCCCCACCGGCCCAGGCTCCGCTCCTCTCAGCCATGTGGGCTCCCAACCGCATCTGAGCCCCTTCTAAGCACATTGTGATGGGCGTCTTATCGGCCTGGGAATCCTGCCTGTGGATAATGCCCCTGGCCTTGGTCTGCAACCCCCTGCGTGGGCCAGAACCCAGCTCCATCCGAACCCAGCCCTGCCTCCAGGCATTCTGCACCCCTAGCATTGCGGCCAGGCGATGGACGCGAGACCCTTAACCTCCGGGTGCCGGGCTCAAGGCCCATGCACTGGCCCCTGGTGGAAGGGTCAGGACGCTGAGTCGTGCAGTCTGAGCTCAGATCTCAGGGGGACGTGTGGGGGTTTGGGCAAAAGCTGAGAATGGGCGACGGGGGAGGGGTCACGTGAGGATTGCCTGTTCTGGCCCCTCCCTCTGGGGCACCTGGCGTTGGCCGCTGCCGGCCGACAGGACACCGGGCTGGACGGGCCGTTGGGCAGACCCCGTCTGGCCGCACCGATGCCTCGCCCAGTCTGGATGTTTGGTCGATGCTGACAAACCCCTGCGGAGGTTTAGCCCAAGAAGCTTGTTGCTGCGGTTTGGGCCCAGCTGCTCATAGGAGCATCGTGGAGTTCTCTGTCTGCCCCAGCAAGGAGAGATCCTGTTCCTTGGCCACATGGGGGTGAGGCTGCGGGACTCTGGGTAACGACCTGCGGAGGGCATCTTTGACACTGACTGGTTACAGCCTGGTTGTCAGTGCGACATGCAGCGAAAGGTGATGCTCATGGACAGTCAGACACCACGGCCGACTGTGTCCCACGCCCTTATTCTCTGTAAGGATATAGAAATGGGAGCCCGCTGCTTGGCTGTCAGTCCCCCCACCCTGTGTGGATGTGTGGGCAGGGCACAGGGTGCAAGGCCCTGCACGTGGGTGACACAGGGAGTGTGAATCTAGGCCCAGGTTGACAGCTGTGGCTTCTGTTATTGACCCTCCATCGCCCCCTCACTCCGGTACCTGGTAGGAGCCAAGAACCAGTTCGAAATAGAGCCTCGGCATGACGCCAATATGTTCGGGGAAGAGGGCGAACACCAAGTAGTGAACCCCAAAGAGGGGGATGAGGAGCAGCGTGGATTTCGCCAGTCTCCTGGAAAGGATCAACGTGACAGTCAGGCTTGGGTTCTGCAGGAGTCGCCAGGTTTGCATTGTCAGGGACTGAAAGTTGCACCCCCCCGCCTCCCCCAGGCCCGGTGACGGAGCTACCAGGAAAGCATGAAAACGGAATCGTGCCCTGGCCTGTCCGCACACCAGGTCTGCTGCACAACAGGTGTCCCTGGCAGCTGCAGGGGCGTGGCCAGGAGAAGCGTGCCAGGTGCTGGTCCCGGACATTAGCGAGCAAGGTGTGTCAGCCTCGGCAGGGTCAGTGCAGGGTGTGTAGCACAAGTAGGTACCACACATTTCATGGGACCGTTGACGTGGCCTGTTACCACCTCTCCAGTCACGGGGCGGGTACAACCGTGGGTGTTCGTGGGTTACAGATGGCTGCAAGAAGCCACAAATCCAATGTCTGCCCAATCCAGGATTTTGCGTCTCCAGCAGAGTTAGGAACGGACGCCCCGGGGCCACCTTTTCAAGGGGCTGGGCAGGGCTCCGTTCGGGAGGAGGGTTGAGTGGCTGGAACCCAGAGCCAGTACTTTGTGTGACGTGCTCACCCGCCAGGGACGGGATGTTTCTCTTTGATCATTTTCCTGGGGGACTTTGTTCAAGGGGGTGGGGATTGTCCGGTTGCACCCACAGAGTCGTCAGGGCCTTTCATGCCTGAGGTTCAACAAGGACAAGTGCAGAGTCCTGCCCTTGGGAGGGAAGAACCCCAAGCATTGGTACAGGCTGGGGACCGACTGGCTAAGTAGCAGTTCTGCAGAAAGGGACCTGGGGGTTCCAGTGGATGAGAAGCTGGAGATGAGTCAGCAGGGCGCCCTTGTAGCCAAGAGGGCTAATGGCATATTAGGGGGCATTAGGAGGAGCATTGCCAGCAGAGCCAGAGGTGTCATTATTCCCCTTTGTTCAGCTCCGGTGAGGCCACATCTGGGGTATTGTGTCCAGTTCTGGGCCCCCCACTGCAGGAAGGACGTGGACGCATTGGAGAGGGGCCAGGGGAGGGCGACCGAAATGATGAGGGGGCTGGAGCCCGTGATTTACGAGGAGGGGCTGAGGGACTTGGGTTGTTCAGTCTGCAGAAGCGAAGAGCGAGGGGCAGGGCTCCCGCTAAGCTCCCCAGGTGACTAATGAGCCCTGTCCAGACCGACGCTCAGGGCTCCGTGCACCGACTAACCGGGTGCAGCAGATTCATCCCAAGGCGCTGGGCTGCTTCAGCCGAGAGGGAACGTTGGCGGGGGGGGGGGACTGGAGAGCAGCCTGCAGCTCCCTGAAGGGGGTTCCACGGAGGCCGTTCTCAGTGGGGCCGGTGGCAGATCGAGGAGCAAGGGGCTCGCGTTGCAGTGGGGGGTCTAGGTTGGGGATTAGGAAAACCTCTGTCCCTAGGGGGTGGGGAGGAACCGGGATGTGTTCCCTCGGGAGGGGGTGGAATCCCTGGAGGTTTCTGACACCCCCAAACCTCCCCCCATGCCCAGGCTCCTCATTTCCAGCCTCACATGCCAGAGCCCGCTGGGCTGATCGCGTGGGGCTGGCCCTGCTTGGGGCTGGGGCTGGACTCTGCCCGCCCTGGGAGTCTGTGAACTGTCGAACCTCCCTGTGGCTCAGGGCAGCTTTCAAACTGTGTTGCTCAAGTTTCTGCTGAGACTGATCCACGAGGGCCCCGCCGAAGAGCCTGGTTCTCTGAGCTGCTGAGCACAGACCTCTCCACCAAGCCCCTTTGGTTGGCACCGTACTGAGTCACTGCCACGCGGTGCCCTCTGCTCCGCCCGGGCCTGTGGCAGGAACGGCGGGAGCAGGTCCCCTCAGTCAGTTCTGATACAGGGTGGGGGCCTGTCGGTCAGTGAGCTTTGCAAAGCTCTGCAGGGCTCCTGGCTCCCATGTCAGTCCCACCCCGTCTGGCACCAGGCGCAACAGCCACTGGACTGGAGACACGCTCGTCCTTGGGAAGGACCGTGGCTGGTACAGGATGGGAATCACGTCTCCTGGGCCCAGGCCACTGCCATGGCCACCGTGCCAAGTTTACTTCTCCGGCCAGGAAGGCGCGAGCGCTGCTTACATGTATTGCTGCTTGTAGCTCTTGCCAGCGTCGGGGGATCGAATCTTCTGCACCAGCATCCGGATCACGTTCAGGAAAATGAGGAAGTTCGTCTTGCAGAGAGAAGAGAAGGTTTGTCTCTGCCTGGGACTGGACCCCCCACCCAATGACATTCCCGAACCTGCAGACCCACTGCCTCCAGCTCCCTGCCAGCCTCTTGGCCTCCCTCCCAGGGAGGCTGCCAGCCCCTCTCGCCCTGCCGCCACCGTGTGACCCCTCGGTGAGGCAGTACAACCCCCTGCGGCATACTCACAAAGATGGCAAAGAGAATGGGAGCCTTAATCAGCCACCAGTACAGACTGGCATAGTCGTCCCAGCACCTAGGGGAGACAGGGAAGCAACTCATCATGCCGGGGGTCCCAACAGCAGGGCACCCCGGGAGCATCCCAGAGCACTGGTACTCAGCAGGGCCAGATGCCTTGGGGTGCTGCCAATGAGCCACCTGTCAGTCACCAGCCCAAATCCAACCATGGGTCTGACAGCTCTCAGCCTTATTGCTCTTGGTGCACCGTGCTCTCCATGCACCTGTAAGTGCCTCCAAGCAGGGCCCATCTCTCACAGGGTGTGGGGGGAGGGTGCACATGTGTGTGCACATGTGTGTGCACATGTGCATCCTGCCTGCACACTGGGATGTGCACTGGAACAACTGCCCCACACAGACAGTGCCTTTGGGAGTGGGGTCAGTGCGATCATCACACGGGCGGGGGGGGTTCAAAACTCGGACAGAGCAACGCACCCAAGCGAGTCTGCTAAAAGCCTCCCATTTTTGAGCTGATCTCAGGATTTCGGGGGGGGGCTCCCACTCATGATGGTGCTGTCGACACGCGAGCAGGCCCCCCCACCTGGCCCAGGAGAACCATGTCTGAGAGGCAAGAAAACGAAACACGCTGAGATGGGTGGGAGAGAGGGAAGGCGGGGCCTGAAATGAGCAGGGGGAGGGCCAGTGGGGTGGGCGTGGCCACTGCTAGCAATGGGCAGGGAGGTGGGCGTGGCCAGCGAGAGTCCCGTCGAAGCAGAGGTTCATGTGTGAAAAGGGAGCCCAGACCCCTCTGTCCTGCGCAGGGCTGACAGCACCGTGACCAGCCTCGCTGTGCACCCCTCGCGGAGGGTGGGGCAGCCACTGGTGCGGCAGCAGCCGGCGGGGCAGGCAGCGCGCCCAGTTGTACAGGCAGGGACAGGGCCACACAGGGAAGCCCCTTTACGCTGCCCTGGCGCTTTCAGGCCTTCTCGCACGGCTGGTGCATCATCGAGGGGCCGAAGTAAGAACCTGACACAGCAAACGGAAGCGCGTTCCCACGTTCGACCCAAAGGCTCTCGTCTCTTGCCAGCTGGGAGGCTGCCCCACTGGGCGCGTGTGTCCAGCGCTCCTGACTGGGCCCTGGGGCACCACCCAGACAGAACCCCGCACATAACTTCGTGCTGGGAGCCAGTCTGCACAGCTCCGGGGACCCACTTGCTCTGGAGAGGCAGGAGCCAGGGTGAAATGAGGCCAACTAATGCAGCCACGTTGGCTTCCCTGGTGCATCTGCACAGCAGCTGGCAGCAGCCTCCCAGCCTGGTTTTAACGAGCTTGGACCGGCATGGGATTGGGGCCTGGGGTCTGGGGCTGGGCAGCTCACTCCCAGCGCAGTGCAGACAAGCTCAGCCGGACCAGGAGCTCAGGCGCCACGCTTGGAAGCCTTTGTGTGGTGTCTGAATGGCTGGTCAGTTCTGGGGGATGTTCCCTGACAGCGGACGTCAGATGGAGCAGGATGCAGGGTGGGGTGTAGGAGCTGCTCTCCAGACCTGCAGCCACTGTGTTGCTGATCCCGGGCCGGGACCTGAGCACCTTGGGATGCAGGGGGTTAACACTGCCCCTACAAGGGGGGCGGATGTGCTGGTCTTACCCATGGTTGTCATACTGCAGCCGAGCGAAGACCCACAGGCTCACGACGAGCACAGGGACACCTGCGAACAGAGAGGCCTGTTGTTCTCCCATGACTGAGTTGGGAGCCGCCATGCCCGGCAGGGAAAAATGCAGCTCTTCCATCTGCCCCTCTGCTCAGCACAGCCCTGGGGGAGCCACTGCCATGGCTGCCAGGGGGCGGATGCTGCAGGGAGGGACCCTACCCTGCTGGGAGCTTGCCCTCTGGCTGTGGGGGGGGCGCAGGATGGGACCTGGCAGGCGGAACGACATGGAGATATACACGCCTGCTGATGGCTGTGCCGACCGCGAGGAGCCGGCAGAAAAGGCGGCCACCAATTTAAAAGAAGCCGTGATGAATGAAAAGACTCATACAGGGCAGCATGGTCCAGTGGTTAGAGCAGGAAGCTGGCACTAGGGGGAGAAGTGTTGTCCTGTTGACTTGTCATTGCTGAACCACTCTGCGCCTGTCCTTCCACAAGGCGCCAAGCTCTGGCCCTGCAGGCAGCTCCTGCCTCTGATCCCAGCTGCTTTGTCTACACCTTTTATTAAAATCATTGACATTTTCATTCACCACGACCCAATTTTTAACGAAATATTTCAGCAACAATTGCTACCAAAGACGTTTGTGCCATTTGTGCATTGACAAGAAGTGGGCCCCATTTCAAACTCCCAGCAGTGAAACTAACTTTGGCATTTCAAATACTTGTGACATTTTCTCCCTCCCCATTCTTCCCCACCAGCTCCAGTCAGTGGGGCTGGCCACCCTCAACTAGCCCTATGAAAACAAGCAGTCAGCCGCTCCCAAAGGGCTGACTTTGCTGCCGCAGTTGCCAGATGGTTCACAAACATCTTTGCCCCAAAGATCCAGGTGAAATCTTGGCTCTATTGAAATCAGTGACGAGACACCAGCTCTTCCCTGTTAATTGCATGGTCTCCCCATTAACACCATCTCAACAGGGCATGTGAGGCATGACTGTTATCCATGTGCACAGGTCGGGGACAAAGGCCCAAGAACCCACACACTGCAGAGACCATGCAAGGAACTGAACTCAGCTGTCTGGAGTCTCACTGAATCAGCCCATGCTGTGCTACCTCTGGTGGAGCCTGTCTCACAAGGCAAGTGACACATTCAGTGGCAGGGCCACCGTTGGGAGAGAAACAGCCAAGAGATTTTAGCTCTTGGGGGGAAAACGTCAGGCTGATCCAAAAATGCAATTGAATTTTTTGGCAAATCGGACATTTAAAACCCTTGCTTGGGTGACATTCAAGGGTTCATTTCTTCCCAGGCTTTTATTTTGTTTGAGCCAAAAGAGACGGAGAAAATGGACTCGTTCGTGAGACGTGTCCACATTGCCAAATCGGCATTTTTCCCTTGGAGAAAAGGTTTGTGCAAAAGAAGTGCCAGGCTGGATGGTGCACACTCGATCTCTAGAACAGCGGCAGTTCACAGGGGAAGTTAGGGAGAAGTGGTCCATGGCCCACAGAAGCTGCAATCCCAGACCTGTGGAGGCACAAGTAAATACGGTGTGTGGGGGCCCACTGGGGCTAACCTGGTGGACTGGATCCAGCCCGCACACCAGTATTTGCCCACCCTGATCTAGGACCTCTGGCCTTTTTTTAGTGGCCCTTGCTACGGACATCCTGGGTTTCGTGGCTCTCATCAGCATTCCCTCTACTCACCCCAGCCGATGAGCGTGTACCACCAGAAATACCTCTTGTCAGAGGTGAAGGTGAACAGCAGCAGTGTCTGCAGGTACATCCCCTCCACGAGCAGCCAGTAGAAGTTGGCCAGCACCGCGTACTGGACGAAGGCCATGGCTGCTTTGCAATTCACCTAGCGAGGAAGGATGGAAAAGGATCCAAGGAGCTCGCCTTGGCACCTGTCCCCAGCAGGTCAATGCGGGAGCCCCATGCTGGCCCTAGTCTTACCGTGGACATGGTGCAGTGGTCGATGGACGCGTCCGCGAAGAACACGGAGTCTTTGATGAACACGGCGGCCACCCGCAACACGAAGGAGGCGAAGAAGTGGGTGTGGATGGAATTCCGGGTGCAGTGAAGCTTCCTGTGGCCAAGAGGCAAAGCCAGGAAGGGGCTGGGGCTCCCGTTCTTTGTGGCAAACAGGTGTCTGGACTTGCCCTGGCCTTCAAACCTAAGGGCCAAATTCAGCCCCGCCCGCTGGAGCCCCAGGTGCGAATGGACCATGGGGAGCGACCGAGAGGGACACGCACAGGGGCCATTTCTTTGTGGATTTGAAGGCCCCCTGCATTGCACGGGCTGCTCCATTTCACCCCAGGCCCCTGGACTGCGCCTGAGGACGTCGGCTGGGCCAGAGCATTTCCGGCCTCAACACGGAGCAGCCGTGCGGCCCCCGCAGAGCCCTGGGAATGTACCTGTCAATCCCCCCAGGCTGCACCCCTCCCCCGTTTCTCCACTCTGCCCGGGGAAATGTCCTTCTGACCCCAGATGCAGCAGGGCAGTTTGCCCCGGAGCAGGACCCAGGCCTCTGGGCAGAGGATTCTCTGAGCTCTGGCAGAGCCCTTGGGTGTCCTGTCGCCAGCTGAGCCACGCTGCATGAAGCTGGGCAGCTGTGGGCTGTGGCATGTGGGATGGGGAGGGGACGCTGCCTGGTCCCTGCAGGCGCCCAGCGGGAGCCGCAGACCTTGTGTGTCTCCTGGCCCCGGGCCCCAGCAGAGAGGAGACTTGCGCTGAGTCCTCCCAGGCCCGTCTCTGCTCCTCAGCGCTCTGAGCCAGGCTCTGCCCAGGCCCAGCGGTGCTGGCTCACAGCCCCAGTCCTTCCAGCGGAACCGAGGGACGGTCCATGGGAGTGTGGTGCCCCGCAAATCCTGGCACCACAGGCTGAGCCGCTGGGTCTGAGTGGGGGGCCCAGGCCTACCTGAAGCAGCAGAAGATGCTGATGGCCAGGAGCAGCGCAGCCAGGGAGGCGGAGGAGGCACAGGTATAAAGCACCTTGACGGTGGCAAAGTAGGCCCCCTGGAGGAGAAAGGCAGAGCTGCGTTCAGGCCCTGTGGCGGTGCCAGCAGTGGGGTGACCACAGGCTGAGCCGCTGGGTCTGAGTGGGGGGCCCAGGCCTACCTGAAGCAGCAGAAGATGCTGATGGCCAGGAGCAGCGCAGCCAGGGAGGCGGAGGAGGCACAGGTATAAAGCACCTTGACGGTGGCAAAGTAGGCCCCCTGGAGGAGAAAGGCAGAGCTGCGTTCAGGCCCTGTGGCGGTGCCAGCAGTGGGGTGCTCAGTAGGGCACAGGCGGGAGCACCGCTGACCCCTCGGGCTGGCCCCTGCCACTCGCCTGCCATCATCCAGGAGGGCTCCAGGAGACCAGCCAGCTCCCTAAAACCTCCGGCAACCCACCCACCAGCCCCAGGGGCCAGGCCTACCTAGGGCTGCCAGGCACCAGTTTTCACCAGAACACCCAGTCACAAAGGGACCCTGGGGGCTCCAGTCAGCACTGCCGACCTACCATTAAGAGTCCTGATGGTGGTGCAGTGGGGCTAGGGCGCCTATCTGGTTCCACACAGCTCCTACAAGCAGTCACCATGGCCCTGCGGCCCCATGGCACATGGTTCAGCCAGAGACTGGGAGGCTCTGTACACTGGCCCAACAGAGTGCCAGCCCCACAGCTCCTATTGGCTGGGAATTGCAACCAATGGGAGCTGCAGGGGTCAATGCCTGGAGATTCCCTGGCCAAACCATGAACCTAGGCGCTGCAGGGACCTGATGACCACTTCCTAGGAGTTGTAGTAAGTGCTGCCGGGAACCTGCACTCCAACTCCCTGGGGGGATACCAACACCCGCCCTACTCCCCAGCAGAGCCCTGCCCCCAGTGGGGATACCAGCCTCCGTCCTGCTCCCCAGTGCAGCCCTGCCCCCAGTGGGGATACCAGCCTCCCTCCCACTCCCCAGTGCTGCCCTGCCCCCAGTGGGGATACCAGCCTCCATCCTTCTCCCCAGCAGAGCCCTGCCCCCAGTGGGGATACCAGCCTCCGTCCCACTCCCCAGTGCCCCCCTGCCCCCAGTGGGGATACCAGCCTCCATCCTTCTCCCCAGTGCTGCCCTGCCCCCAGTGGGGATACCAGCCTCC